GTCTTAAAGTTGTTGCCACGTTTTGCAAACCACAGCTTGATTCTCTCACCCCTGCTCAGGATGGAAATGACATCGGTGAGGCTGCTGGTCTGGTCCTTCCTCCTTTTGATCCTGAGCGGTCTCACCTGGGCTGCAGATCCCCCAAACTACTGCTACGGAGCCCCGGGTCTGCCCGGAGTCCCAGGACCACCGGGGAAAGATGGGCGCGATGGACACCGAGGGCCCAAAGGAGAACCAGGTTAGCCGCTGGCTTTAACGATCCGGGTGAACCTTGTGTTTGCCAGCCTGGATGGCCCCTGGGTGCCCCTTGGTTATGGCAGTGTGTATTGTTGTGTATGCGTGAAAGAAAAATTAAGGGGGGAAAAAATAAGTGGAAAAGCAAAAACACAGGAGTGGACATCATTCAGACCAACAAACCCCGAACCCCAATATCTCAGGGGCTGCCCCAAAGAAGAGGGGTGGGATTGTCCAATTATTCTCCAAAGCCCCCGAAGGCAGGACAAGAAACAAGGGAGGGAAACTCCCCCGAGAGAGAAGCAACCTGGAATTTAAGGAGAAACTTCCCAAGAGTGAGGACAATTAACCCGTGGAACTGCCTGCCACCAGAAGTTGTGGCTGCTCCATCAACGGAGGCTTTTTTAAGAAGAGACTGTCTGAAATAGTTTCAGGTCTCCTGCTGGAGCAGGGGGTTGGACTAGAAGACCTCCGAGGTCCCTTCCAGCTCCATTCTCATGATTGATTGATTGAAATGGCCCAGGGCAAGGATCTTCAAACTTGGCAGGTTTAAGACTTGTGGGACTTCAACTCCCAGAATTCCTGAGCTAACCTGACTGGAGGAGGAGGAATTCTGGGAGTTGAAGTCCATAAGTCTTAATGCTGACAAATTTAAAGACCCCTGGAATAGATAGCTAGAGAAAGAGAGGTAGAATAGATAGAAAGAAAGAAAGAGAGAGAGATAGAATAGATAGATAGAGCGGGAGAGAGAGAAAGATAGTATAGATAGCTAGAATAGATAAATAGATAAATAGATAGATAGATAGATAGATAGATAGATAGATAGATAGAATAGATAGATAAAGAGAAAGATAGTATAGATAGCTAGAATAAATAAATAGATAAAGAAAAAGAGATAGGATAGATAGATAAAGAGAAAGATAGTATAGATAGCTAGAATAAATAAATAGATAAAGAAAAAGAGATAGGATAGATAGATAGATAGATAGATAGATAGATAGATAGATAGATAGATAGATAGATAGATAGAATAGATCGAGGATCGAGGATGATTGATTGAAATGGCCTAGGGTCTCCTGTTTAAGCAGGGTGAGGTTGGTCTAGAGGACCTCTGAGGCCCCTCCCAGCTCTCTTATTCTCTTAAAGGAACGCCTGTAAAGTTAAAGGCCACCTGAGGCCCGAATCCGGCTTCTAAAACTCCCCTTCTCCCTCCAATCTCTAGGTCCTCCGGCCGTCCCTGGAAGCCACGGACCCAAGGGAGAGCCAGGCTCCCCGGGGCTTCCTGGTTTGCCCGGGAAAAGCGGCCCCCGAGGAGCCCCCGGAAGCCTTGGAGACATCGGCCCCAAAGGCGAACGAGGGGAATCCGGAGACGCCGGCGGCCACAAGCTCATGTACCAATCCGCCTTCACCGTCAAGCGCCAGACCCACGAGCACCCGGTGAAGAATGCGCCGGTCGTCTTCCATGGCAACGTGACCAACACCTACCACGATTACGACACCTCGACGGGCAAATTCACCTGCCGCATCCCGGGCGTCTACTACTTCGTCTTCCACACGTCCTTGACGGCCAACCTGTGCGTCAACCTCTTCCGTAACCGGGAGCGGGTGGCCAGCTTCTGCGACCACCTCTCCAACCCCAAACAAGTCAGCTCCGGTGGGGTCCTACTCCAACTGGAAGTCGGCCACCAGGTCTGGTTGGCGGTCAACGATTACAATGGGATGGTGGGTGTGGCCGGCGCCGACAGCGTCTTCTCGGGCTTCCTATTGTTTCCCGATTAGCTTCTCCTCCAGAAAGAGCCCAGTCGGCTCCGGAGCCTGCCTGAAATTTGACCTTTTTTCTGGGATTCCCCCGTAGCTTTTCTTCTATCCTTCGAGGTTTTCTCCTGCCTTCCCCACTGATTGAAAATAAAATAAAATAAAATAAAGAGTTTGTCATGGCAATTGAAATAAATAAATAATGATGATAATAATAATAATAATCCAGGAGTCTTTGGTTTTGTGGTTCACCATTGCTTACAAGAAGGAGGCATCTCTCAAGTTTTACCAAGTTAAACATGGGTGGACCTCCAACTCCCAGAATTCCCAAGCTATATATTGGCCGGGGGGATTCTGGGAGTTGGAGTCCACCAATCTCAAGAGTTTCTTTAAAAAAATATGGCTGGGGAATTCTGGGAGTTGGAGTCCACCATCTTAAAAAGTTGCTAAAAGAATGGCTGGGGGATTCTGGGCATTGAAGTCCACCCCTCTTAAAAAGGTGGCAAGAAAATGGCTGGGGGATTCTGGGAATTTAATCTAAACTTTGGTTTAGAGTTGAATAATTCAGAAGCTCAATCAGCCAATCAAAAAATCAGAGACAGCAGAAAAACAGTGGAGTACAAAAATCTATAATTTAAAAAGCCAAAAGTAAATAAAAAATATTTAAAAAAATAAAACACAAAATAAAAAATATTTTAAAAAATGTATACACACACAAACACAATCTATATCATCCATATCTATCTGTCCGTCTACCATCTCTCTCTCTCTCCATCTCTCTATTTCTCTTTCTATCATATTTATCTATATCTATCTCTCTATCATATCTATATCTTTTATCATATCTATCTATCTATCTATCTATCTATCTATCTATCTATCTATCTATCTTTTATCATATCTATCTTATTCTAATCTATTATCTATTTTGTGTCATCTATCCTTCCTTCCTCTTTCCTTTCTTCTTTTTCTCTCTCTTCTCTCCCTTTCTCCCTCCCTTTCTTTTTCCTCTTTTCTTTCTTTGCTTCTTTCCTTTCTTCTTTTTCTTTTCACTTTTTCTCCCTTTCCCTTCCTTCCTTTCTTTCTTCCTTCCTTCCTTCCTTCCTTCCTTCCTTCCTTCCTTCCTTCCTTCCTTCCTTTCTTTCTTTCTTTCTTTCTTTCTTTCTTTCTTTCTTTCTTTCTTTCTTTCTTTCTTTCTTTC